CATACATATATTACATTACATTACATATTACATTATGATATTATGATACATATGACACTATTACGATTGCATTACATATTACATTATATATATGATACATATGACACTATTACGATTACATTACATATTACGATACTTGGCTTACGTATTAGATAATGTACTACATATCATAATTAACAAGATAGTTTATCAGTACATACTACACTACATATTTTATATTGCGATACATGGTTTACACATTACATTATATTCTACACATCAGATTGACAAGACAAAATAACGCCTTACCTTAACATTACATTAACTTCCCAATACTTATTACATTAATTTTCTTTCCTAATATACCGTATACTGGTAACAGATACATTATCATCAGATTGTAATAATTGTTTTGCACTGGCTGCGCATTCAACACAGGATGCGCATTAAATTATACACAGGGAAATTAGTGATACGTAGGAAAAACATTATGCACAGAAGGGGTATATACATGATGCGTGTTAAGTTATACGCAGGGAGAATTTGTTATGCACAGGTGAAAACATTATGCAGGATAAATTATACTGACATAACTTATACGAATGTGCATATTACATTACTCCTTATAATTAAACCGGTAAGCTTTACAATGTTATTCTGTATACCGAAGTTCTTTACACTTATAATACATTGCTTAATCATTACATTAATATATTTACCATGTACAAAAACAAAAAAAAAAAAAACATATAATGGATTACATTAGCATTCCTAATATACATAGATTACTTTTGCATTTACAGTTAGCAATATTACTGCAGGGAATTTTGCATCTGTGCATTTCTCCATTACTTTACATTTCGCACCTTAGAATAGGTGTCGCGGTATATGGATGTGATTGGTATTAGTACGCGTAGTACATGAACTGTCCCGCATTGCGTAATTTGCCAGTATTGACACGTTGCTGTTCTGTTGAAGGCAGTTATACGCGCTGCAAAGTGCATAGTTATATGCACGATAACTGACCTCAGTGCGTAATGTTCATTACTGACTCAGTTCATTTGCAATATTTACAGTTTTAGTTTGTGAGCTGCTCGTAGCACATCATGCCGATAGTTATATATACATGGAGTTTGTATGACATGGTTTTTAATTTACACGATACATGGCACATGGTAAATGGCGTTGCACACTCCACCTTGCATTTGCATATCATATCTTAGCACGTTTGCTTTAGATTAGACATAAGTCTGTGCCCACGTTCATGAGTTTATCAACTATCTTGTGGATTTTTCGGACAGTACGTTTGTCTTTAACCATAAATCTGCAGAAAGCCTGCGTGTTTGTAGTTGGAATTGGCAGGTGCAGATCTGCTGTAAGCGGGCATTGGGTAACATAATGATCTGGGGTGCCCATCTCACCACATATACAATGTGCATTTTGTGCGATCCCGTGTTTTTCATAGTACACGGGAAACGGACCGTGTCCGGTAATGTATCGGACCATTTGTGCATGCACTATGAGACGGTCTGAGTCTACCGTAGGGACGTGATAGTGAGCACGGCGTCCTCTCTCACCAGTATCCCATTCCTCCTGCCAAACGGATTTTGCCTTGTGTTTCAGATTTTTCTTTAAATATGAAACTGGCCAAGGGATGGTGATATGTTCCGCATTGATGTTTCTTGCAGCCTCCTTTGCAAGTTGATCTGCTTGCTCGTTCCCCTGTTGCCGACGTGGGCCTTGGTCCATTCTATCCTGGTGTTAAGATGGCTGTGGTCGCGCAGATGTGTCTGAATCTCTGCAATCAGTGGGGAGCTGTGCACAGGGTTCACAATTGCATACAGGGAGGAGAGGCTGTCTGTTATAATGAAGCTGTCTCTTTGCCGCTGTTGGATTATCGTAAGTAGAGCTTGTTTGATGGCCATTACTTCACTCTGGAAACACGCTGTTGTTTGTGTCCAGGTGACCTTTCCATTGTGCTATTGTGCTTTGCTGTCTGAGGGCAACATAGGCGCAACCTGTATTTTCCTCTAGTTTTGACCCGTCGGTATAATAGACTAGATCATCTTCCTTTACATTGGTGTTTTATTTGATGCTAATCTTTACTCCCTGTCCCTGCGTTGAGGGGTGATCGGCAAGGCGTATCATCTTTTGTTCAAATTCGGCTGGTGAGTATAGCTCGTCTCTGAAGGTGGTTGGTGCTTTCTAATGATTTACAGAAGAACATTTCTTCGGCAAAATCCCCTTTATGAATATATCTTGCATAAGTTACAAGTACGGCCTCACTGTCTCTCAAAGTTGGTTCATCCATTTGCACCGAAAATTTTCTTATTTTCAGCTTTTCAACAAGCTGTATTTCAATATCCTCATTTAATCTTTCTTCTGCAAACAGTATTGTTATTTAGTGGCATAGTTCTAACGTCTGTGTCATCTTTTTCTGGAACAGTTTTAAAAGTTTCAATTCTCCCTATAGTACGGCTTTTCCCAGATTAAGCGATGATAATGAAATTTGATGCGCTCAAGAGCACGATTAACAGTTGCATTACGAGCAGTAAATAGAGACTTTGATATTACTCTTTTTTCAAAAATTTTCCTTAAAGTTTGAAAATAATTCAAATCTTGAATTAATTATCAGCATTATGTTTCGCCTTCAAATGTGCCTCAAGACGACCTAGTTTCATTGATTTGTTGATCAGGCATTATTGGCATAAAAGAACAAAAGTTGACTGTTTATGGCTCGGGTATGAAACCAAATTTTAAATATGCCTCCGAATACCAACGAACGTTTTTTCTTTCTTGCACCCCTCATTTCACTAAGGGCTGAAAGAAATAAATATAAGATCAATATAAACAAAGCTGCAAGCAGCTGCTGTTGCCATTCAAGAAAAGAATAATATACCGGTTGCCATTCCTACAGTAAAAAATAAAATAAATTCATTGGCTTAAGGGGACGGTGGACTTTAAAAATTATTTTTTTAAGTTTTCATTTTTTCAACAAGAAATTTTATACATGTACATCTTATAGCATCAGTAAACAAAATATATGCTCAAAAATTTCAATTTGTTTTAAATTAAAAATTTTTAAAGCAATTAATTAATTATTTTAATTAAAAATTTAAAATGCTCCATGCGCTCCAATTTTTAATATTTTTTCCTAATGTTTGCTTTATGTTACTTATAAAGGCTTGGTAAAAGTATTTGTGTATCCGTTATTGAATATGATGGATAAGAAATTTTTAAAGGCTATTTTTGTGAACTTAAACCCAATTTTCGAAAAAATTTCACCTTTTGTTAAAGGTTTTCACAAGTTTAAACTTCTTAATAACCTCATATCTAAAAATGCATACACAGATCTACTGTAACATATAACAATATAGTTTCTTCCAAATATCATCCATTTTTAACTAAAAATGAGACGCATGGAGCATTTTCAAAACACACAAATTGCGAAAAAAAATTTGTTTTGAGAAAAATGAATTTAAAGTTTTCCTTCAAACTTACCTTTAATACATGGTCATGAGAAAACAGCAAATTAACTTTGAATATAAATTTGTAAACATTCGATAACATTTTTGTAAGATTTAACTATTTTTAATCTCATAATATTAAATATGACAAAAATAAACATATGACAAATTGCTAAGTGATTCGAAGTTATACAGGTAAAAACAATTTATGCCGTATACTCAATGAAATTTTTAAAAATCACCAGCACCATATGTTTTACCTTCATTTGCTACAATTGCATTATCGTTTAGTGATTTACAATATTTTTTACTATTTCTGTGTTTTTTCCATGCAGGTAAACTTCTCTTTTTACTTTGGTTCAAGCGACGCTGATCGCGCTTTTTTTTGCAATGAGTAGGGAAAACGAGTTCACTTCTTCCTGTTCTACGCTTATGGCATTTACACAACCAAAGTTAAATTCATTAATTGTTGATAATACTGACATTTCTAGCCTTTTTTTAGAAATAAACACTTCTTTAGGGCAATTGTTCCAAATTAAACTATGGATACTTTCATTAGCATTTTGTGTTTTACCAGAAATGCATCTGGACAGCAATTCTGTGCTAGCTAGCCTTTGATAAATTGGCAATATTTGAGAAAGAACACTTTCAGATACTTTAGTTTTCATGGCTTTATGTGCTTTCGGCTGCTCTTCATTTGCTACTGCACGTTGATAAAAACACCATGACAACGTACCGGTAGGACATTTCGAATGTTTTGGTGAGACATCAGTAGATGAACAGTGTAGTAAGCTTGCATAAATTGCAGATTTCATTTTGTCTATATCCGGTATGTTATCTTTTATGGCCTTTCTGTAATAGTTTGTTAACTTTAAAATTGTAGTTTCCTTCAGATTACCTTCTTTTCGTCCACCGATACATATACCTCTGGAACGCAGCTCTTTAACTTTATTGCGCAATCCTGCCCCTAAACGTTTTGCCACATGATTGATACATTCTTCTTTACTAATTTTTACGTCATTACCATAAAGATTCAGAGTTAATAAATGTTGATATGTTTTCGCATCCCCATCAGAAAGTATCCCAACATATCGCATATTACATGTACTGATGGACCGTTTCCATAAAATTTCTGCGGCTTTCATTTCCATAGCATTAGACGAACCAGAAAAATTTTTGGAACACTCTGGTTTGTGGCTTTCAAACCATATATGAAATTCCGCACTGTCAGCATCCATATCTCTTTTCGCGCATACACATTCAGGACAATATTTTGACAGAATTTCGTAGTCGATAACTAACCCAGTCAAGACATCTACGACGATACCTATTCCATACAGTGATGTATGCCCACGTTTTTGCCATGTGCCATCATACGACACTGTGACATCTATACACTCATCATTATTTATATTAATTAATTTTTTATGCTTATTTCGAACAATATTTCGAGAAAACTGAAGGAAATCACCTTTTAGTTTCCCCTTTTCTTCAGACAAACTGTGTAAACATTTAGCAAATGTCTTTTTGTCCATAGCATGAATTCCCATAATCATGGAAAACACTTCTAAGGCGGCGTGGCCTTTGCCTATTTTCAAAAAATGCTTCGACAAGTTTCGTATTCACATCAAAAGTATTTGACCGTTTTACCCGCTCACTTGAAAATGTTGAACTAAATATTTTATCACAGTTTTTACAAACTAATTCAAGTTTTGTAGAATATCCATATATTCCTTTCGAAACAATATCTAAAGAGTTGGTTGAGCACTCGTCACACTTTATATTACATAGCAATGGATTCCACATTTTACGATTTATCAAAATATATGAATCATCATTTCGGTTATCACCACAGTCAGACGTTCGTAATAAACTTTCATTCAGTTTCTTTACACTGGCACTTATTGAAGTACTCGCTTCAACTATAGAACTTTCAGAAAAAATTGTTTGTTTATTTTTGGAAGAAACTTCTTCACTGTTCAATGTCACGTCATTTTCCGAATGAGCTGCCCATCGTTTTTCAATTTTGCTGACAGCTGCAAGTTTTTTTCTTCGATGGTCGCCCTTTAGGCTTACGGTAACGACGACTTATGGCATGCATAATGTACAATAAATATATATATATATATATATATATATATATATATACTTACGCAAGAGGTTATAAATTAATCTGCAGTTCTTCCAGTCCAAGAAACTCAGTTTTAAACAGTCCTGCAAAATGTAGTTGTATAAAAACACAGCAAAACACTTTTAGCAAAAGAACTAAAGAAAATAGCGAGGAAAAAGCACTTTTAAAACTGTAAACAGTGAAATGGCAGTTACAGTTAAAACGTTATATGCCAGGTTTATAAAGAATTAAATATATAAGTATATAAATATCAGCAAATAACTGTTGAAACATATTTGTTTACATTTTCGCCAAAATTTAAAGGGCAAAGTTTATGTTGTTTACACATTTTAAATGCTTGTAACTTCGTTAAAAATTAGAATATTTGAATTCGGTTTTTTACATACGATGCAGTTAAGTATATGTAATACAACGAGAGTAAAAAAAAAAATTCAATATTTTGGTCGATTTTTAGCTTTTTCAAAGTCCACGGTCCCCTTAAATGTGGGAGAAATCTGAAATATGTGTTATTTCAAGCCTTTAAGCATTAAAGTCCATCTACAGCGAGAATTCTTTATAAAATATTTAAAATGCAAGGCAATTTTAAAACTTTTTTACGTATACATCACTTACATTTTTCTTTATTTTTGGGAATTCAAAATGAAATTTCGAAACATTTTGACTTCATGAAGCATATTTAGAATGACCTTTGTCCCCTTAAACTCTGGACGAATCCATTTTCGAAATGCCCCCCTTAACAGTCACATTGCCCCCTTGTGGGGCGTGGGCCCCACATTGGGGAACACGGATTTAAACGCTTTAATGCAAATGAACATATAATAATTAATGTTGCTGTTTGGGTATATTTGTTCTGATGGACTAGTTTTATACACTTTGGTGTCCATTCATACCGAAAAAATAGCTATTTCACTACCCCCGTCATATTCTTTACTGTTTTTTCCCAATTATCGATAAAATTTGTGCTCTTTTTGCTTTCTTTTCTTCTGTACTTTTTAAATATAATTCCATAACATCCTTTACACTGGATCTGAGAAAGTGCATTTGATGTCTTAAGGAAAACGATTTAAACACTCCTACGCACTGTTAAATGAGGTGAAAACTCTCTAAGATAATCGTCTACAATTTTAGAGGTATTTTATTGTGTGGAACGTATGTCACGGTAGAGAACATGACGGTCAGCGATTTGGTTTTTCAGTGTTTACTGATGTCCTTAGAAATACTGTGTCTATGCGGCTTGGAAGCCCTTAAAATACTGAGTAACCAAAAGCAGGGGAAGAGGGATTGGAAACCATCGGATCCGTTCCCCTGTGTGTTTTGTATTAAAATTAGGGAGTAGCTGTACAGTTAGTGCAGTGAGAACTTTATCTGCAAAACCAACTGGCAAGTTTCTGGTGTCTCACCACTTCTTATTCTGTCCTCAGAAATAATAGTCATTTACAGAAATGGTCGTCTTGAGAAGTTTTATTGTAATGCTATATATAACAATCGGATAATGTTGATTGAAGCCAAATTCAACAAAAGTTAACTGAAATTTAAAACAAAAGAATAGTTAATAAATTTTGTGAGAACAGACGTCACTTGGTAAATCCCGAGATTCGCTTAAAGATAAAATTGGTTTTGTACTTATTCTTTATACTTTGGCCATTAAGATCTTTCTTAAATCATTAGTTTCAATCAAATCCTTGAAATGTAGTTCTTTAGCCGCAATAGAAGGCGGAGTTAACGCAAGGACACATAACTCCCGGATATTCGCAGAAAACGTATTGAAAAACTTAGAGAAATTTAACTTATGTGTGCTGATGCATCTGATGTTATGAATATAAAAAATATATTGTGAAATATGTGAGGTAACAAATAGGTATTCAAGAAGAGAAGCAGAGTAATACTTTTGAAGTATTGTTGCGTTCTGCGGGTCCGTGGGTTTGGAGTGATTGACGATAACACTTGATGAAAAGTCGAAACAAAATTTATTTGTCAGCATTACACAGGAGAGTTCCAAAGACGCGTTCCAGTTATCGAAAAACTGCGTCAAACACGCTGAAACAATAATCAACACAGCCCTCATGCTATCATGCTACAACGGTGAAGACAGCTTCACGGCAAAGCACTAAAGTACAGCTTCCGACTCAGTCGATCGCTCTCGAGCTGATCTCTGAACTCAGAACACTACTACTTAATTCAGCATACTCTCAATACTCCCTACCCCGCGTACATGCAGGGTATATGCAGCTTTTGACCTGCCTTCGAGAACATTCTGGGGAAAAACCGGTAAGAATTCATTCTAGAATGTTCTTGCTCTGTCTACGGCATATCGCCAATTTTGTCGCCAAATAGGCGATTTCATTCCAAATCTGGCAACCCTGTCTTTCCTTACCACTATCTGGTAACCCTAAACCCGCTTTGCGGGGAAGCTATCTTACCGCAGCTGGACATTTCTTAACAATATTTTCTCTCATTCTGTGCTGTCTAGTTGAACGCAGTAAGCAAAAGTAAACTCAAAGAATTTCTGCATTACAAACAACAAAGGGATATAAAATAGTTATTGTGCATAAATCAAATAACTGTTTTGCTTCTGTATGCATATAAGTAATATATATTTATGGAATGAAAACTAATTAATACATTAATACATTAATAGTAATACATTAATGCATTATTCTGAAATCTTTTTGACTTGTAAGCAGCAGGAAAAATCATGCTGAGAGCTGTAATAATACGTTATTCAACATTTAGGTTTCAAATTTAGTTATAATCCTAACTGGTTTATTTTTAGCACGGCGTTAAAATGCATAGCTTGTGTAAGATCAATATACCTTGGAATGTTTTATTGTATTTAAAAATATTATTAAAATTGTTAGGATTTTTCTTTTGCCCTTTACCTAAATACCAGTTTGACGGACACTTATTAAATTGCACACAAATTTTACAATCTTCAATCAATTATTCTGCAAGTATGTCAAAATAATGCACTAGAACTTTGGATACGTAAATATGTAGAAATAACACGCGACAACTTAAATTAAAGCAACATTCAGGCTTGATTGTCTTCATACAAAATCTCTAAGGAAAATACTTTGCGTTGCAGGCTGGAAATGCACTATTTAAACACAAGACACTTAGGATGCCTTAAAAGGAATTTGGAGTTTTGGATATTTTGAAAAATAATTTTGAATATTTAATTGTATATTTTGCTAATATTGCAGAATGTATTTGATACGGTTGTAAGAGAAGTTTTGATATTTTGCATGAATTTCAGCATAATGCGTTAATGTTTCCATTCACTGAAGAATCTCATATCTCACAAGAAAAAACTTCACATTATGTTATGTAAAAAGTTAATTTTCTGAGAAATCTTATCAAACGTTTATTATTAATGTAGTCCTGAATCTTTCATTGCATAATTTTCTATTCTTCAAGTACCTAAACTTTGTGAATTTTCAATGACATGTTATAAAGTATTAGGTATAAAATATTGCAAAAATTCATTTAAAAAATATTTTTATTCCTTAGAGTAAGCAAAATCTGTACCTCTCATGTACGCTTTGTTAAACGCTGATGCTACTGTAACGTCTTAAGCTATTTTATCGACCACCACGAAGTTCTGAGGAAAAGAATGGCCATCTCGAAAGTTCCCACGGATAGAGTATTTCTTAACGAATTCTCAGAAAGATGAAATGACCAGCAGTCACAAAACAATCTCAAGGTTTTATTCCTCTTATAGCGTCTCGAAGAGAGACATTGTTCCGTTGCCTTTCATCAGTTTATAGGTGCATTCTCTCAGACCCCACGGTGTGAGTCCCCAGTTGGAACCAGAAAGTTCTCACGGAGTTTTTCCCAGGCTGTCTGAGAATCGGGTATTGACCAGTAATTCAAGTTATGCCCTTAGGCGCTCGTTGTGAATTAAAATAAATAAAGGATGCATGAACACCACCGCCCGAAGGCAAGAAAAAATTTTGAAGGCGGCAAAGCCTCTATTTCAAAGCAAGACAAACTTCTCTTTCGGTAGATTCCTCCTCTGCACTATGGTCGAAAAAAAGTTGGTTCGGCGGAGGCAGTCACGTGGGAGGTAAACCCCCAATAACTGACCCCGCGATTTGCTGCTCGGACAGGAAAACCTGTGAAAAAGATAGATAAATTTTTTGAAAATGAATTCATTCCTTAGTACCTTCTGATCACTGGGGAAGAGTAAGTCTAATCCTCCGTTTCTGCAAATTTCATGCGATCTACATAGCGGCTTTAAAGCCAACGGATAATTTCTCTCCTGCAGTTTTGGCTTTCCTAATTTTGTCAAGATGATCAATTACATTACTTAAAAAGTCTCTTATCTTAACGTCTTACAGCTGCGCTAGGACTTCGTTCGGGATAATTGGGCGTTTCTGCTTCACTTTCTCGCTGAAGAGAGATTGGATTTTATTTGCTTCCTTTCCTTATGTATTGAGAAGTTGGGGAAAATCTTCCGTTTTCTTTGAGAATTCAATCAGCCTTTTTCTGAGCATGTTTCT